GGCTATGTTTAGTGTTAAGGTTCACGTTAGGATTGGGGTTAAGGTTAGGGCTGGGGCCAAGGTTAAGGCTAGGGTTTTCCTATCACCATTTACCTCTATCATTTTCCATAGGCTGTGCTCTTTTTCGCGGGATTTTTTACAATTTCTGCCATTATTCTACTTTACCAAAACTTCTCAACACTTTTTTGTTTACTTTATTTTTTAACCGAAACTCCAGCATTCGTCCAGCAGCATTTCCACTTACCCTACCAATATAACCCACTTTCCCACCATTCCCGTAAGACAGGGACCCCGCCGTCTGCCTCCACATTCCTGGCTACCAACTGTGATCTAACCGAGTTGGCTGCGGAGAATTTAACAGGCGAGTCTTGACTCTAAATCAGAAGCAGGGCCTACTGACTGACATAATTATGGCTATTCTGAAGCGCAGTACCATAGAGTCCCTTAATAATCCGTCAACTTTCCCGCAGACAGGCGAAGAGTATCCTCCTAGTGAAGGCACAGTCGTGGAAAATTCAAAGACAGTCAGGTAGAGGAAGCGAGTTGTCTCCAGGGGAAACTCAAGACAAACTAGTTCCGAAGGATAATGCAGCAGCCGACGTTAATATAACAAAAATAAGCCCGATTTCATTAGTTGCAACGGTAAATAAACCTACCAAATCATCAGGCGCTAAAGATGGGAAAGTCAGGGTTAACCTCAAAAACATCTGTTAGAAAACACAATAAGGGCTCGCCATTATTTTTGGAGGGAGACGCTGTCACTCCATTTCATCTTAAGGCCAACTCAGTTGGAAAGTGCCTTAAATAGTCCGTTTACGGAAGAGGACACGAAAACTCTTCGCATAGTGCATTGCAGCAGGACAATGAATGTGAAAGTTTCCATGCCGAAGCCAATACGCCATACGAAAATTTAGGCCCTACATCCCCAACGTCGGACGAAAATCAGCCTAACGTCTGAGCGTCATCATCCATCGGGAGTATCACAGTGGCAACATATCGTCCTAGCGCGCGTGGGGCAATAAAGAGGTCGTCCGTAAATCGTTAGCAAAATATAGTAATAAGGGGTGCCCAGAGTCCAAGTCCTGCATTCCGCAGGAACGGGTGACATTGTTCATGAATACGCCAGTGCCGTCCTGAAGGATTGGGAAATATTCATCGTAAGAAAGCTTTCTAACTAGGCAAAGTAAACCCAGACCGTGACCCGCAAGCCTCCCCAAGGCCTTTAAATGCTTTTTTTAAACGAGGCCCAGGCAGCGCTTCTGTTAGAAGGCAGAAGGGCCGTACGGAATTCACATAAGGAAGTGTTTTGTCAGGCGGACTACGAACCGAGGGAAGACTGAAAATGAGGGGACTGAGAGCAGAATCGTGGAAGAGAATTGCCAGAGGAGAGAAATGGTTGAAAATCGAAAACAGCCAAAAATCCCAGACCAAGGAGCCTTTCCTGTGGTCAAGACTTGTCACAATGAAGGCTGGGCCTCTCCAACGAAACAATCATTGGAGGTTATTTCCGCAAATGTGCAAAGTCTCTTCAACAAACTCGACGAACTAAGAGACCTAGTTGATGAAATTATGGCTTTCACCGAAACGTGGCTTTCTGAAGATATCGCAGATTCAGAAATATCACTTGGAGGACATCAGCAATTCAGGAGAGATAAACCAAGCCGAGGAGTCATTCTTTACGCCACTTGCAAGCTGACCGCTATGGCTAAGGTGCATATTCCTGTACAGGATGTTGGACTGCTAAGTATCACCATACCTGCTAGGTATTTCCGACCACTGACGCTTTAAGTGGTGTACCGTTCGCCTAACCAGACTTCTGGTCAAGATCTCATTCTAATTCCTGAACTGTACAAGGTCAGTTGGAAGAAAGATGCGTTTTTCTTGTTGGCGATTGTAACACTCTGGGTATTTATTGGCAAACGCGCAGGTACTGCCAGGTAACTTTAATCACAAGCTACTTCAATAAGCAACGGGAAAACTCCACTAGAACGTCACCTTTGGAAGTCGGGCTAAGGAAGGACAACATTCGAACTGCTTTGGCGTTTTTTGTCCGAGAGGAGGAAGATGCGCTAAACCTGCGGGACCGACCGGCATTAAGGTCAAGCGCCCATATTGCGCCGTACTTCGAGTGTTCGCTGTTTTCCAGACCAATTCTGCCTGATAGGTGAGAGAGAAACGTCTGGAAAAGGGAATATTGTCTCATGAGGAGGGAATTGTCGGCGGTAAGGTGGGAGACAGAACTGCATAGTGGAGCAATCGACAATTGGGTTTCAGTTCCTTTCTGAAAGAGCTTGTTTATTCCAACAGTCCACTCAGAAGAAGAACAATTGCAAACCGCCCAAAGTGGATAAACTCGAACTTACAGGCCTCTTTCAAAAAAATAATCGCCTTTGCTGGCGTTACAGGCTAACGTCTACCAAGAGAACTTACGGGAATATAAGCAACAACGCAACATTTGTAAAAGTGAGGCTTCTAGGCTGCGAAGGGGATTCGAACGAAACATACGGCAAAATCCGTTGAAGCACCTGAAAATTCTATATGGTCATATACGGAGTATTAAAGCAGCTCAGGAACTCATCCCTGTCCTTAGGTCTGCAGATGGAAAACTGGAGACTGATGACCAGGTTAAAGCGTTTCCCCATCCTGATTTCTTTCAGTCTGTCTTCATCCAAGAACCTAATTCCATATTTGCCCCTCCATCCGTTCGCCAACCAATGTCTCCTACTCCCCTTCGCCCTCTTACCTCCTCACTACCCTCCTCAATCGAGGAACCACACCTTTCATCGGCTATAGTTAGGGTCGACCTACTCCGACTGAAGCCTGCCAAATTGCCTAGCCCGGATAGAATTCCTGCCCTATCACTTCCAGAACTTGCTAATAAATTGTGAGAGCCACTGTCCATAATATTTCAAAGGTCATTTGAAAAAGGCGAGCTCCCACAAAAATGGACGTGCGCATTCGTCACCCCGACCCATAAAGGAGGTTCACACCCTGACTGCGAAAATTATCGTCCCATCAGTCCGACTTGCATCGCGCGCAAGATAATGGAGCACATTAGCAAAAGGCATCCGATGGAATGCCTGGAAATAAATAAAATATTGTGTGATGCCCAACACGGATTTCGTTCAGGACGCTCCTGTCTAACGAGTGCTCTATATTCGCATGAGAAATGGACAAAGGCTATGCAGTGGGTGTCATAATCTCTGACTTCAAAAAGGCGTTTGATAGCGTCCCACACAGGGTCTTTTACAGAAGATCTGAAATACAGGAATTCAAGGAGCAAGATTTAAGTGGATCGGGAGTTTTCTGTCATCCAGCGTACAAAGAGCCGCTCCTGGTAACTCTACCTGGGAATGCGCAAAGGTGTAAAGTGGTGTCTCACAGGGTTCTGTTTTGGGCTCACTACTATTCCTGATTTATGTTAAAAATTGCATCGGCGAACAAGATTATGCGGTTCCCATGTTCGCGGATGACATAAAAGTATGGAGTGAAGTCAAGTGCGATGATGACGCAAGGAAGTTGCAATCGAAAATCGGCAAACTGAGTGTTTGGTCAAACAGTTGGCATTTAAAGTTTAGTGTGTTCAAATGCGTAGTCCTACACCTAAGCACCGGCCGAAACGCCTTTCACAAGCATCAGTACCTTATTAGCGGGACTGCATTAGAAATTTTAGAAAGAGACAAAGATATGGGTGTATGTACGACCACAAATTTAATGCCATCAGAACACTGTGGAAAGATGGTCCAGAGGGTAACTAATGCTTTACACTGGATCAGACGTGAGTTTAAAATATTCCCTTCCGAATTCTTTGGAAGACTTTTCGGCGTCTTTGTAAGACCCCACCTGGAATATAAAAATGCCAGCAATTTTACCATGGATGAATAAGGATATTGACCTACTCTAGAAAGTGCAACGCAGAGCAACAAAGATGGTCGATGGCCCAAAGCACTTTCCCAGCCAGGAGAGGCTGAATGTGCTTGGTTTATTCCCTCTATCCTATAGTCAATTAAACTGCAGTCTACTCTGGACATTCCGGATTGTCCACAGCCAAGGTTGTTCACTGAGAACGGAGGACTTTTTGAGTTTGCCAGTACAAATCAATTATGCGGTCATCCTTACAAAGTCAAGAGCGAGCGCACGCGGCTAGACCGTAGGAAGTTCTGCAGCCAACGAGTTATCCAGCCATGGAACTCGCTACCAAGTGGGATGGCGATGGCTGACACAATGTTTAGGTGTAAAAGAAAACTTGCTCGCTTGATTTTCAAGACCGACTTTGAAAGCATGACTACTCACAGCCAGCTTTGTAAAACGCATTGTCATACACAATCTTTCCGTACTGACTCATGGTGGACAGATGCGCTTCCTTATTATTACGGTTCTATTGTGATACGGGCATATCCTAAACGTTTGCAACTTTCTTTTGAGTTTGAATATGTGAAATCATTGTACATAAATAGGGTCACCAAGGACTCTGCCCCCAACTATTCAAATACAAACACAAGACATTTCGCACAAGATACGCAAACATCGCGAGATACCTCGAGTCATACCGGAAGGATGATTTAAGTTTAGGCTTGTTTTTCGCTGTCAGCTTCGCAAGTCCAATTCTGTTGCCCTTGATGCGGTGATACTGCTCACCTATAAACGTCAAAGAGGTGCAGCGCAACCCTTACGTATTACCTCTGGTGCTTATACAGTACTTAGGAGATACCATTACGCATCCAGACAAATTAAACACACTTGAAATGTCACAAAAACGCATGGGGTGACAGACGGCGAACAACTATCGGCCATTGGCAAAAAGTGTGGCTGACCAAGGAAGTGGACAAGCCCATGCATTTACTATGCATTTTGAAGATGTAAACTCTCTGCGATGTATGTCAGTACAGAAGGGAAAAGGCGAACGGGAAAATCGAAAAGGCCATTTATTGTACAAAGAGAAATGTTACTAAAGCAGGGCGAGTAGCAATAAAAATTCAACATACAGTTGGGAACAACGACTATCGAATCCATGGTTCCGCTCGGTCAGTACGCATTACGAAGTTGATTTTTCGTGCCATTTCGTTGTCATAAATTCGTTTGCACCGCTCGTACATTACTCTCCGGCGCATACGGTTGGGCTTTTCGTAATATTCCTGGCGTTTGATTGAATTAATAATCTTGTCATTTCGCATTATCCTAGTACAAATTAACAAGGGGAATGAAAGACGGGAGTAGGATTGATACTGATGCTAACGGTACTTTGGTTAAAAAAACAGACAGTAAGTGATTAGGTGTCCGCACGCAATACAAAATGTTTTAAAGATACTATCACTAAACTAAATGACCGAACACTAAGAGTCGAGAAGAGCTTTAAAGTCTGAAATTAGGGTGTGAGGGTGCACTGCATTAAAATAAAGCAAGGACACAAATCAGTCGGCATTTCACTGGTCTCGATCGAGAGTGACCTTCAACTCAACCACTGACTCGCTAGCGACACGGCTGATACGCGGAAGGCCGATTAATGTGTCTATTGGTCGAATGCCACGCATCATAACAAAATCACGAAATTGGGTAATTTCATTGACTCACGATTTTCGCGCAATCGAAAGCTGCAGCCTGACGAGGACGAGCGGGTAGACGTCCAGAAAAGTTTGCACTCCCAACTCGCGGTTATATCGTGTCTGTGCATTCTGCTGTGGATCCCTCCTCTCAACACAATTACGTCGTCTATGCCTGCACACAACCTGGTAAACGACGTTAAATTTTCAGCCAATTGGTACTGGGTTGTTTGGGCGAATGAGCTGCTATTGGATAGTCGCTTCCGTCTTGTAAGCGACTCCAACTGCAACTTTTTCATTAATTTAGTAACTCCTTTCGGACAAGTCAGCAATCGCTCAATTATGATTGCATCCTCAGGCTTCTTCTACTGGCATTTCGTCTATATTCTTCGGTAAAACTATCAGGGCACCCGCCGGCTGTGAATAATTTCCGAAGAAACTGAAATCTGGACCTTTTGTCGCCTGGCATGTTGAAATCCGTTCCCACATGGCGTTCAAGTGATTCTACGTGGCTACTGTGTGAAACAGAGTAGTTGTTATGAAAACTTGCAGTACGGCTGCTCTAAGTTCCTCATCGCTTCCTCTGAAGACAGCTGCGTTCAGAAACGACAAACAACGGTCTTTTCTTTTGTCATTCTGGATATTTACTGAGACGGGATTCAAGTGTTGGATAAATTCCGGAAGCTCGTTCGGACTAATGATGGCGAAAGCGTTAACAGACGTGATAACTTGGTCCTTCTCCGGACTGACAGCCAGGCTGTAATGGCGCCATCTTAATGTGGCTCTTGTGGTACTCTCATCTGTGCGAGATCCGAGCCCGATACATCTGGAGTGGGGGCCAGGTCACGTGTCACCGTGGACGGGCTACTAAATTTTGCCAGTTACTGCGTCTATGTGCATCTCTGGTTGTCTTAACACTGCCCTGTCATCGGAACTAGGTAGGTGAGGGTAGAGAGAGTGTGGTGAATGTTGCGCGAGTGTGCCTGACTAATTTAATTGCACGCCAGTGTTGCGCCCATTCCGTGGGACACGCAGAGAACGTCGACGTTGACGATCGAACAGACATGCATGTATGCATTTAAAAAAAACAGACATCCCATGAAATATAATAATCAAGGGAAAAAATATCTTGGGTACGGAACAACGTTTATTATGTTGTTGTCGTCGTCATCGTCAGGCGTGTAGACGACGTACAAATGCAAACAATTTTCTAACCATGCCTGGCAAACGACTATAGTTGACCGAAGATTGTTAATATGCGTCTATTGCATCACGTTACTCTCTCAGGTTTGACTGGGTTCGTCTCCATTGTCCAGAAGGACTTTTGATGAGACAATCAAATCGATATTGTTCGAAACCGTCTCTAACGTTGAGTTCGAGTAAGAGTCTGAAGGTTCAGGCGAATAAACTTCTCGCTCTAGTGGTCAGAGTTTATTCTACAGAATCTTTCCTCAGGCATAGGCGCCACATCAATGGCAAGAGATGACTGAAGTGCTGTCCATTAATTCACTATTCGCACTCTAGCTCTCCCTTGAATTCGAGTTTTCTGTCATGGTCGCCGAGTGAAAAAGAATCGGTTGAAGGTTTACAACTCGTGGGCGTTCGTCTGACCTCCAGTGCTGGCACAATAACTTGTGGCTTCTCAACTAATTCTAATTACCCCCTTCGTGTTCACTTCGATGTGACGGAGTATTTTACAGTTCCACCAAGAGATATCCCAACCTGCGTATTTGTTCTCTCAAACTTGAAGTCAGGAGTGACAAATCCCCATCAGATTTAACTTCATTCGACAGCAAGCAGCCTACCCAGCAAGTCCAGCCTAATCCTTGATCTCGCCCAAGCATACTTACTACTTGCTTTATCATATCACATTCTACGGCAAAGCTCTTTGCTGTAGCTCTCTTTGCTATTTCGCCTGGAAGCAAAGCCCGAGGATGGGACAGATTAACCTGAAGATTGGCGCAGTCAACCTTCTTGTCTCCTTTAAATCTGGTTGCACCTCCTATGTCTGTGACAGCCTGACTCGCAAACATTTCTTCGTAGACATCGGAGCCCAGATCGACGTGGTTCTTCCCTCCCCACCCGACCGCCCTCGGCCCAAGACTGGTCTTCACCTTCAAATTGCCAACTGCTTTCCCATTCCCATGTTTAGCATCCAGTCCATACCATCGAACATTGGCCTTCATCGTTCGCTTGGGTCTTCGTGATTGCTGGTATCCCAAATGCAATTCTCTGCTCGAACTTTCTAGCCGAGTTTTATCTCCTCGTGGACCGTCGGTGTGGTCGACTCCTCGGCCTCTCGACTGGCCTATTCGTTGACGGATTGACCCCCTTTACAACCTCCCGCAAATTATCTGTTTTGGATACAGATATAGCCCGCCCTTATCGAGAGTGCCTCCTCCAACATCCCAACATCGCCAAACAACGGTTCCGCAGTCCAACACGATGTTGTGCGTCATACCTACACCGCAGGCGTTCTTGTGTTCACCTGGTCCGGATGACTGGCGCTGATCCGCCAGCGAGCCGCTAAGGCCGAGTTCTAACTCATGGCACAACTCAACATCATATGACCGTCCCAGTCTCTGGGTGTCCCCTCTTCATATGGGGCCCAAGGCAACATCAGGCGACTGGCGATCCGTGGACCCAGCAACGTCACCACTTTCAGTCGGTACCTAGTACATCAGGACTTTGTCGAAGCCTTTCTCGAAAAAACCGTCTTCTTGGAAACTGACCTGGCGCATGCCTTCTACCAATTATTTGTCGCCCTAAGGTACATTCCCGAAATGTCGCCACTACTCAGTTCGGCCTCTTCGAATTCAGCCTCATACACTTCGACCTTCGCGCTGCTGTCCAGATATTCCAGGAGTTCATATACCATATATTACGTGACATGCCGTTTCTGTACGCCTACATCGATGATCTCATAGTGGACCGTCGGAATGCTGAGGAACACAAGCAACACCTCAGCTTGATGCTTGATCGTCTCGACGTGTGCAGTATCATCATCAATCCATACAAATGCGTTTCAAGTGTGACTTTCCTTGATTTCGCCGGTTATTGTGTCGACTCCGGGGGCTTGCGTTCTCCGTCGACCAAGGTTGAAAGTATTCATGTCTCTCGTCCACCAACCCTCAAGCGTCAATTGCCATGTTTCCTTGACATGGTCAACTTTAACTCCCCTTGGCTACCCGATTGTGCTGACCTAATGATGTCGTTCGCCAATAGGTTTTCTAGCCCAAATGGTCCCTTTGAGTTTACTGGCGAAGCAATGACTGCTTTTGAGAGAATCAAGGCTTTACTTGAGGATACGTCCCGCTCCTGAAGCTCCTGTGTCTGATTGTAGATGTTTCGACAGCAGCTGTTGGTGTGGATTTTCAACAACATCCAGCTGGTTCGACTATGTCATTAGCCTTATTCTCCAAGAAATTAAAGCGAAAAAGTATGCCAGGCCACAGTATCACGTGAACTACTGGCAATTTACTTCACTGTGGAGTATTTCCGCGACTTCCACGACGGCTGTGGGATCACAAATCACACTTAACACCAGTCGATGAGGTCCGTCCTGGGACAGTACTTGGAAAATTATACTCTAAGGAAGATTAGACACCTTGAAGTTCCTCGGACCTTCAGTGCTGTCACAATTCTTTGTAGTCCCTCAAATACTTCTTATTACTCCCTAGTGCCCACCTCGATGCGACGGGCTGTTTTATAATCCCTCCATGGAATCTCCCACGCTGGGATATGAGCCTCACAAAAGCTTCTCGATGAACGGTTCGCATGGCCTGGCATGAACAAGGACGTACAAACTTGGACACAGGCGTGTTCCAGTTGCCAGCTAAACAAGGTTCGGCAACAACACAAGTCCACCAGGCACCTTTCCCAGCCTCGACACCCGACTCAGTCATGTTCATCTGAATGCCATAGGCCTCCTGATCCCATCTGACGGTTACACTCGCCTTATCTGCATCGATTATTACACCCACTGGTATGAAGCCATTCCTCCATCGAATGTGGGGGCGGACACTATCGCCTAAGGTCTTCTTCAGTCGTTTGATCAGGAGGTTCGACATCCCATCAATAGTACTTCAACTGGCCCAGGCGTCCAGGTCGAGTCCTCAGGCCTCCAATACCTCCTCATCTTTCTTGGCTCCTCACGCATTCGGACGACGGCTTACCACCCAGCAGCCAATGCATCGTCGGGCGTTTCACCGTCATCTCAAGGGCTCTCTGCAAGTCACAAAGGACCCAGTGAACTATTCTGACCATCTGCCTCTGGCGCCTTTTAGCATTCGCGCGGCATCGAAGTCGCATTTTGGCTCGGCGCAGCAGAACTAATGCTCGACACTGCCAGACTCCAAATGCCAAGCGATATGATCACCCCCCACCTCTCCCGGTGTCAATGAGGATCTTGGCAACTTTATGCCCCGTCTGCGACTATCTATGCTTTCGCGGTCTCCGCTTCCACCGCGAAGTCCATCCATCGATTCTTGTGTTGAAAAGGGCCTGGACAACTGCATTTTCGTGTTCCTCCGATGTAACCGCGTGCGGAAGCTCCTAGAATCGCCATTTGAAACATTGTTCGGCATACTCTCACACACAATATCGACACTTGCTTAATGTGGTCGGCGTTCCGCAGGACAGCGCTGCTGTTCCACATGAAACGCTAGACCGGCCGTAATGACAACAATGCGCTGATGTCCTGCTCCCTCTTACTTTTTCCATCCCACCTCCCCTCCCTCCACCGGTCCTTACTCGCAACTCTTTCAGTGATACTGCCATTTGCACCACTCTTAGTGGTCGTCAAGCGCATTTTCCTGACCGCCTTTCCCATTCATGTGTTTTCACATCTCATTTGCCCTTTAGTGTAGTTTTCTCGACGGTCTTTGGGCTCGTCGGCGGGCACTACGTTAGCCACCTTTACAAACCTCACATCTGAACACGGATTTTTGAAGGTACACCGTTTTTGTGCTCTTTCTTACATTAGCCTTATTCAACTTTGTTTAAGTCGATGTTTATTGGTCACTGCGTGCGTGCGACCCAGTCTTCGGCTCACCGACGCCGTAATGCCGGTCGATAGTTGTCTGTGTCGATCTATTGGCAGCAATCGCACAAGGCTGAGATGTAGGCACGCACTTCACGATGGGATTACTAATCTAGACGGATGGCACATGGTTAGTTGAAACCATTGTTCCCTCTGCCCACTGGGCCGCATGTACGCTCAGTGAGGGTTGCCCAACGACCTTATCCCTCCTAACTTTCAATTTGAGAAACTGCGAGTAGTCAATCGGCTCACCTAGGGAGGCTCAAATTTGAGCACTCACAGACTGCCTCATTGTCGCCACTAATGATGTGAAAAGGAAGAACTGACCGATATGAGGACAAGAGAGATGGAAAACTGTCTCCAAACGTCCAGATATTGAGGGCGTTTCTGCGGCGGTTTTCAATTTCATAAAAGTGCCGAGGACTGGCACCGTTCGCTAGTCAAAGTTAAGCACTCGACCTTCGCCACTGTGACTATAGATACAGTCTCTTTAGACGTTAACGATAATCGTCAGGGTCAAAACGTCCCCAATGGGGGACGTGAAGATTAAGGACTCACCAACCCTTCTTCCACGACGCGACGAATGCAGAGATTAATGTGTTATACTAATGACGTGCTAAAATGACCGTCATCCCGTACAAATGCTGTTAAGGGCGGCACGACACTTCTTCCGGACGATGAAATACTGTTTGTTTCCAAACTTCTTTCAGTCGCCTAGAGGCGTACCTAGGATGTACGCGTCAGAAAATTACCAGCTCACAAGTACGCGCTAAATTACTGGCCATTCGGGAACTGGTGATAATTCGGCTACAGCCACAAGATGTACCTCCATTTCGAAACCTGATCTTCCTATTTTTACCTCTTTTGGCAACGACTTTATCACAGATATTTACTGAGGGTCCTCATAGACTGCGGGAGAGCATTCCTACGTTGAATCCCAACAAAAGATATACGCGATCCCTAAGTAGACGGTTTGCAAGTCGCGCAGGGCCTTTTGGGACTCACATAAAAAGATATTTACTGAGGGAATCATAAACAGAAAGGTGTATTATGATTACGAAGTGTGACTCATTTCTTAAGAAGCAATATTAATATTGCCCACTACGAACTCAAAAAACAAAAGGCCAGGATTTCTTCTCCTTGAAAAGGTGGGTTTCTGGGGAGGACCACATGAACCGGTAAATGAAGTATCGAATAAACTTATATAACATATCTCTAACATGTATGAACGCAATTAATTCACATATGAACGGAAAACCTGAAACAGTCCTCCAAAGGGCGGGCAACGATAACTGCAAAAGTGACAAATGACGCACCGGTTAAGGGCTGAAAACGCGTTAACAACATCGTTTTCTTGAACGAGAACAGTTTTTCTCAGGAACTTTATGTTATTGAAATAAGCAGTCAACGCGGCGCGGGACATTGGGCTAATATTTGACGTGAAAGGACGCTCAAGGTCAAGCCGTCAATTTCAATCTAAAGGACAAATCAGCCTCTTATAAACGCTTTCAGGTCGCTGACTAGGAAATTAAGTTCCATTGGTTCCAAAAGATGAAGGAAGCCTGTTTCAACGATGCAAGCGGTATTTTGACACCATAATGCCTGGCACAAACCGACCGTAGCAAAAGTCTGTTCGCCCATGTACACTTTCCACCTTTCACTTCACATTACCTAATACCCCTAAACTTTTCTGCACAGACTTTTGAATATACTAAAATGCACGCACCTGGTTTTGGCTTGAGACGGCGCGCGCCTTATGCGTTCTTCTGCTGTTTTGTGTCATTTTTTCGTTGATTGCACTCATGCGCCTCAACCGCCTCTAACGAATCGGCATGAAACATGTTTATCTTCCTGTCATATCTAACTGGACGTGAATTCACCCGAGCGACAAGCTTTTGCAACTGACTTTGACCGGGAATCTCCTGGGCTTTGCCCAGAACATTCATTATAGGACAACCGACTCTGGAGAGGACTTCATTTTTCGTTAGTTTGTACAATTATCTACCTTTTACCGTTTTCCCTATATTCTTTTTGCTGTCGTTATTTCTCCTATAAAAGACGCAGAGTCCCCCACTAAAAGTTCAGTTTTTACTGTATCTGTTTTCTTTGTAGTTTTACTTGCAGTTTTCACTACGGTTTTCCATTCGATGTTGCCGTAGATGTCGAGGACCTCCTAGACCCGATTCCTGTCGGCAAAACTTACACTCGGTTAGAGGACGCTGTTGTTCAACGCGCAGCAAAATCAACCAACCGGAAGCTCAGGTAGCCTTTCACCCAGGTAGAGCCTTGGGACCAAACGTCATCGCAGCCATGCAGTACGTGCGTTTATTGATCGTCGGTCGCCATGCGGACGACGCAATCTTTAGAGAGATCTAGTTTGTTAAATTACCACTACCTGTACAGAATGCCTTGTCCATTCTGAACACAAACAGCCACTTGTAAAAAATGGCCAACCACGTTGACAGAATCAAAGACTGCTTTCCGGTCGGAGCGTCTTGAGCCAAAATTCAACAGACATCGTGCCCAAACAACAAGTTCGACAGAGTTGCTACTTCTGGTGCAGAAGGCACTGCCAAGTTAGAAAGCGATACTTTCTGTGTGGAGCTGTTACGCTCTTGTTTCGTATCACGAAGGGTCACAACATGATCAGGCCTCTCAAGAGATTCAAAAAATCTCTACCGCGACGATTACGAGGGCTTAAAAAGCACCATACACTTTTTGTGCATTTAAGTGAGCACCATGTGTACTGCTATAAACGGTCTTCATCCCCGACGGGTCTTTAATTAAAACTATTTATTTATTTATTCTGACAGCGGCTGACCATTTCACACGATGGCCGATTGCCATGCTTATCTCAGATATCTCGGCAGAAATTATTGTCATGGTTTACCTGACGCGCTAGTTTTTAACTTCATGTGTGCCGGTCGCCAGACCGTGGTAGCCTATTTCAGTCTAGTTTCTTCCGTGAATTCATTAGACTACTCGGATTTGTGCACGTCACAAACACGCATATTACCCTGCATCCAACGGCCTCGTAGAGCATGTAAACTGTCAACTCAAGTCCGCCCTGATGTCCCACTCAGAACTAGCTTCTTGGATTAACAGCCTCCCTTTTGTGCTTTTGGGCCTCTGCTCTTCTGTCAGGGAGGAAATCTAATACACTGCGGCCGAACTTGTATACCGTGCGTACCTCCGTCTCCCCGGCGGATGTGTGCAGTCTCCCACTGTACACACCAGTATATGGAGCACCTTTGTGCAGCAGGTAAAACAAAGTATGGCTCAACTGCGTCTATGTCCGACACGTCTGACGTTAAACGTGTGTTCGCGTGTGGGGACCTTACATCTGCACCATTTGTTTTCGTCCGGTATAACGCAGTTCGCAAGCCGTTTTGTTCCTCGTACGATGGTCGGTGTAAGGTTTTTCAGCGGATAGACAAGTATTACTTAATTCAGCATGCTGACAAGACTGACGCGATTTATACTGACGGACTTAAGCCAGTCTCGTTTGTGTGAACCCCGCCGCCCATTAAGCCATCTAATTCCTCTACACCGTCCTCGCCCGATCCACCCGTTTTGGCCATTTCGACCCACCTGCAACATTCGACCATCTGACACACCCAGCATGATTCTCCCTTTACTCCGCCGCGCACCTTATCACTTCATGGTAGACATATCCATTTTCCTGCCAAACACAAAGATTTTGTAATGCAACTTTTTGAATTCTTTTCTTATCCGGCGTTTTTTTTGTTTAAGAAACGCCCTAATATCGGAGGTGCATTGGTCCATGTACATGTTCGACCTTTCTCTTCATCTTTTCTCGCACACCCGGACTTTTCTCTATAGTCGTCTGAATATGCTAAAATACACAAATGTGATTTCGTCTTGCGTTGAGGCGTGTTTTGCGTCTGTCTGTTGCTTGGTATCATCGTTCCATGGATAGTAATCGTATGCCCCAATCCTTTCTAGTCAATTTTCACGAAACATTTTTATTTCTCTGCTATGTCATACCGGAGGTGAATTTACACGAGCGACAGCCCGCATTAACGGACTTCAGTTCGGATCCAATCTAGACTTTACCAAGAGCATTAATGTTACAGTAACCGATACCACGGAGGGCTTCATTTTTCGTGGGTTTGTATGACTACTTACATTTGCCGTTTTCCCATATTCTCTGCTATCTTTTTTGTGAGAAACACTGCGTTCCCCGCTAAGAGTTAAGTTTTTCCTGTAGCGGCTTAGAAACTACATCTTATAGATATTTTAGCACCTGGGCAATCCACTACCCTTATCTGACTCTGTCTCTGACGGTGGATTCGAATGAGAATCTGAAACGTCAGGCTAATAAGGTACTTGTTCCACCGATCGTGTCTCGTTCTCTGCGAATACTTCTGGGAACTCACCTCTGTGCTTTTAATGGCATCTAGTTTCCTTTGCAATTTTAATTGTTGCTTACAATGCAAATCATATAAGTGCGACTACGCACCGCCCCGAAGATAGAGAAAGCTTAATAAGGAATCAAATCAAATAACGGTAATAAATAATATGACATAGGAGAAATCAGGGAGTTCCAAGTACCCACTGATATGCTTGGATAAAAACATAGCAGTTCGACAAGCGACGCAGAATATCCTTGCAAGCACTCGTCGTCCAAAGTTTTTTCAACTAATGCAACCCATTATTTTCTTAAACATTCGAATATTTACCGGTGTTCTACCTATCTTAAAACTGTTTTGATGGGCAATTTAGGTGGCCGCTGCCTTCCTAAAACAATTATAGCTGGACGTGATGGAATCTTCTCCCCTCATTTATGTTTCTAAGGTGCTGAAAAGAATAATGCGTCAAGTCAATTTTGCAGGACATCTTGAAGAGCGCAGGCGAAAATTTAACGAAGGCCTTAACCAAACCGACATACCTGTCTCTTATTAATGCTTTCTACGCCTCTCTCCACTCTCCTCGCTCTTTTCGACCGGTGTCTGGAAGAATCCTAAACGTTCACAAGCCAATGAAAAACAGTAGGACATGTTAGCGCAAATTTAAACTCAGTAAATCAAAATTTTCCGTTCGCTGACTCACTCCCTCTTCCCCTGTAGTGCATCAGACGACCTTCTGTGCCTTTAGGTCATCTGTTTCTAGATCTGGATGCCGTAGCTGGCAGAGACGCCACAGCCCGCCTCCGTGTGTTGCATACCAACTGACCAGTAACAAGCCTGCGCCAGAGAACATGCCCCAAAGCGACGACAGCGGTGCGAGCTCGGTCCATGTGTCAGATATTGGGAAGCGCGTTCTTATGCTGTGTATGTGCCAAGGTTTTACAATGGGGCTCGAACTTAGGTGCTCTGTCGCTAGTTTTCCTTGAACCGCACACTGCCGCGTAGTCTCGTGTGTTAAATAAATGTGCGTGGACGGCACAAAACTCTGAGGTGGGTGCGGCGGATGCGTGCTGAAGCTTCTGACCCTGGTTCGTCAGCGTCAACCCAATGAATTCAAAATGACTGTCCGGATTCATGCCTGATGTGCATGTCCGGTAACAATATGATTAGAATCGGTTGGTAATTGCCGAGTTAGTAATGTTGGCCTCATCGGAAATGGAAAAGTTGGCAACGCTAGTTTTGTGGGAGTTTTCGAGTGTGTGGGGCAGACTTCGTAGGTCGACGTCGCTGTGAATTCTGCTTATAATCGTCATTGTCCGTCGTGTCTCTGTCAGCACACTGTAAGAAACAGGGACAAATCTTTACTTTGACTCGAACTGCACGCCTTCTAATGGCTGTCTTTAATTCCTTATTCTCAGCCCTGTTTGCTATCTCCAAGGAGGTTACGATGTAAGTGCCAGTTTGTAGCAAGATCGTTCTTAGGAATCGTGCAACGTCTATTTACGAGCTAATATACATTATTGCGCGCAATCATCCACTAAGTTGGCGATTCAGCTTGTTCACCAGGTCACTTTCACGCTGTGGAAGAAAAGAGAGCGACCGCTTCCACCATCAGATACGGATAAGCAGCAAATCAGGTCACTTTTGAAGAGGAAAATTGTCACGTTCCGTATTAATATAAAGTGTCTATAGACAAAGGGAAAAGGGACAACAACCGTTAATGGCCACACGCTAAACCAAAAAGTTTTGGTTTGATTGGACGTCTGGGCGGTTTTTCTGGAATTCATACAAAGGCTTAATCAGACGTTTTAGAGAATCAACGCGACGCAAAATACCGGCCGCCCTAATATTCTGTGTTCTAGTATACCGGCCCAGCGCCCACAGCTGTGTAACGTACGCCTGCCCAAAGTATTCCAAAATTTACATCGCAAAGTGTGTCCCCCCTCGTAGCTCTCATGGTCGACCAAGCAGCGTGGCCAGACAAACCATGGCCTGCGCTGACAACTTTGCTCTACTTCAAGTTACCATCTAGTTTTCTGTCCCAAATGCAGGT